TCCATCCAAATGATGTTAATCGCTTGAGGGCTCTGCTCCAGGAAAAAGAGTACTAATGGCACATGATCCAAATTCCAAATGATAAGGAGCGTCTTCTAAAGCAGCAAGCGACACCAGTTTTCTTGGGGTCTGGGAAGTCTGTTGCGCAGTAAAGGGCAAATCGCTCCGAAAGTTTGTTGCGCAAAACGATTTTCATCCAAGGCTCTTTTCGCATCTGGTCTCCATTCCTGAAGCCAGGCTGCGGAAGTGTTCTGGCTAGGCTGTTACACCCCAATCATTTTCCATATGTTTTCCATAGTTTGTCTTTTGTCTCTTTCGGATAATTTGCCCATGCGAACGAACAGAGCCGAGGACGTCCCCGCTTCTCCAGTCGGAAAGCCAAGTGACTCCACCGTAAGGAGGCGCTTTCCTGCCTGTGACATCGGAAATTTTGCGTGGAAAGCACGTCAGTGTCTCAGTATCTTCGTTCTATATAGACAGGCCCTATATTTGGTGGTACCTATGTGTAGATACAAGTAACCGAAGATGCTGAGGCTGCTGAGGTTTTCGTTTGGAACAAAGATGCATATTCTGTATCATGAGGCGCGTCTGGGAGACAAGTGGGATTGGGAGAAAACATTGAAAAACACGTGGCTTTCGTTTATCACCCATTTCTGACTCTATTTCTCATTATCGCACCATTTGCATCACTAAATCCGTGAAAGGCAAACAAACGACTCCTCTCAGTGGTTTATGTCTTCAGTAGTCTTTCATGATTGCACCATTTGTATCAGTTGGGTGCAACTGCATCTGTATAGTTTATTATGGGAGCATACGCGTCAGCTGGTTGCAAGTGTATAGTCTATTGTACAAAATGTCTGCAAATGAGTAAAATGTGGACCCCTGAAAGTGCACAAGTTCAACAGGGCCGAAAATATATCCAACGATGCTTGCAGCTTGCAAGTAAGACAGAACTTTTCAATAAAGGTGTCAAAAATAATGTTATCATTATAGATATTTCTTTTTCATCAATTTCATGGCGCAGTCTATCTCCAAGTCTTTTCTCGATCATACAGATTGTATAGTTTATCGTCAATAATCACTGCATGTTTCGACCCCTTGAAAACGCACAGTTTCAAGGGAGGCGAAACATGGATCCAACAAATGCTTGCAAAATGCAAGGAGTAACTGACACGGGTCTGAGCCCACGACGCCGCAACCAATCTGCACTGCCCGAACGCGCGCAACTGAACCCACGACCCTCGAACAAGACCAAAACCCGGACTGCCCAGATCTGACGCTCATCAGCGCGGCGTGCAGGCAAGTGCGTGGAAAAAAACAGTTCCCAGCGTCGAAGTTCCTGGGAATGCTCAAGCGCTGCTTTTCCCCGCGCGGAAATTCAAGAAGTGGCAAGCCCTGCGTGGAAAAATCGGTCCCCAGCAAGCTGGCCTCGAGAGACCGCGCAAAAGAAGATCACCGTGGAGAGCGCGCAGGTGTAGGCGGGCCCGTCCACAAGTCATCGCTCATCCGAGTTGACCGCTTTGCATCAGGGTATCCGTGGCAAGCCTCTTCTAGGCTTCCCGAGGCGTGGCAAAGAACTTTGGCGTTGAGGCAGCCCAACTATACCTCAGAGCCTATACCTCGGAGAGCTATCGGGCCGTCTGTGCCCAAAGCGCTCAAGCTCTCCACGCTGGGCAGCCGATTCATTGGGACTCTTCTGCCCAGAGGAGCCTTTGTGCCTCAGCACATCTTTTCTTTCAAGCTCGGACACATCACGCAGCACAGCATCTTCACGTGGCCAACACCTCAACGGCTTCAGAGTCTTTCTTAAGCGCTTTCTTTCCCGACTTGGTCTTGTGCTCGGTACACGGCAAAGCGTACAGTGAAATCCAACCTGACCCCCTTTGAACACTTTTGAAGAAGGATTGCCTTCTTCTGCTTCTTTTCCCGACCATTTTCTTCCTAGTCTTGGTAGCCTGGAAATAGGCCGGGGTAAATAATTTCTATCTAACATTCAAATATATACGTGTATATTTATATTCACCAGCACTATCACCTTGCGACGCCCCTTTTCTTGCCCCCTGTCTGCCTCCACACTCGACTCTTTAGGCAAAGATTCCGAAGCTGGCCGCTTCCTCGACTACTGTGCCCGCAAAAGCCGCGCCAACCGAAACGCCAACAAACCGGAACAGCGGAACAGCGCACAAAATCCACATCGGGCACCACAACGGAAATGCAATACTCTTCAGAAAGAGCTCTGTGTAGGCGTGAAGGCTGTTCTGCGCACTCGGTTGCCTGAAGAACCCCTTCATGCGCCAGAAGGCGGCTCACTCTTGTGCGTCTGGAGAAACTTCCGAAGCCTGGCCCCCATCCGAGGCGGCGTACGCTTGGGTGTCTTCGCGGCCATGAAGTACTTCTTGCGATCACGGCCCCTCATGGTCTTTGAAAGGGATGGCCCTCTGCTATCTTGACCGTTAGAGCCGTTGGAGTTGATGGCGATCGAAGTTCGAAGTTGTCTGCCGCCAGGTTACTTCTGCAGGCCGCTCCGTCGAGAGGCAGGACAAGGCGCTATAAAAGCAAACGTCTTGGCATCCACTAGCTCTTCTCCTTCTTTCAAAAGACGCAGACCAACCTCTGATAAGCTTCTCTAGAGCTGAGCAAACTTTCTGCTGGGTGTTGTGTGGCAACACAGAGACGCCTTGAACTGTTCTGCTATCTGCTGGGATGGAGGACAACCTTGTCTAAAGCTGGAAGAAAGCATGGAGACTAACACAGTCTGGGCCCCAAGTGCTCTGCAGAAAAGTGAATCAAATGCACACAAGAAACAAATCATGGTAACAAAAAAAATTGAGGGTAACCCCTTCTCTACAGTAACTAAACAACGTGTCAAAGGGTCCAAGAATAGAGTGATTATAGATACAGTACTACTTCTTTTGCCACCCTCTCTCTGAGAGCCACTAGCGCGGGCGGTTGTGGTCGCAAAGCGACCTGAATATTGTAAAGTAATGTAAAGCATTAGGATTGGAAAAAAGAGAAACATGAAGTTGTTCCGATCCGTTCGCGAGTTCTCTCTGCCGGGTGGCCATTTTGGAGACAATGCGAACCAAGCGGATGGATGCGTCCTCAGATCCACGCACCACTCACAAACTGCGCAAAATCTTCCGAGGACACCCACCAGTTTGGCATCGTTTGGCCGTCCGCTAGATTGACATCCTTTCCGCAACAGCTTTTGAACCACACTGACCCACCCACCTTGTCAACCACTTCTAACTGCCACTGCTGGTTGCATCCACCATTCGCGGCATATGCGCACACAGACGCACCTCGGGCATGGCAAACTGAAGAAAGCCATGAAGCATAGACATGCTCGCGAAGCTGTAAATCAAACAAATCAAGGTCAAGGTCAAAAAGTAAAGGGCATGTTTAAGCGGTTTGGGCCGTCTTGACTGATTACACTCATTGCGAACGAAGTGACATATGTGCATCATATGTGCATCTACAACATAGACATCTCGTCTGTTTGCCTTCCGTTTCTAGAGACGAACACGCCTCTGGGCCTCGGACTGTTCGCGTCTTGCGCACCTACGACGTCAACGCAAAGCTTCACCTTCTCTGCGGAGCACCTGAAGAAGAAAAAAGAAGAGAAAAGCGAAAGATGGAAGCATGTGAAAGCAACACTGCAATGTGCCGATGTAAAACACCGAACTGATGCGTGCATCTGTGTGAGTGTTTTTCCAAAATGTGTTTCTTTTCGGAAAGGGCCCAAACACGAACAAAGGAATGCTCAAGCAGAACAAGCAACCCGCAATCCAGCTTGCTGGCGAGGCGAGAGTCTTCATCAACCTTGAAATTGGCTGCTCGCCACAAGGCCAAAGCAACACACTTGCGGCCAGGAGCCCCGATCGTAGCGTCCTTTCTCCTAGTAGCCCCTAGAAGCTTCTTGTTACTACTTGCGCTGCAGGAACACCAGATAACACAAGCACATGAAGGCACTCCAATGTTGAACGCAAACACGCGATAGAATCCGCGACCCTTATCCTCAGTTAAAGCCACAGTCCACTTCTGGTTGTCGCTCCCGTTGAACTCTGACATCCTGGTCAACTGGCTGCGATTCTGAAACACGCTTGAGACACTGTGGAGAACGTTACTTCATGGTGTCACCATGTCCAAAAGGCCAAGACTGCATCACAGTGCCAGAGAAGTGTCCCCGAGAAGATTTACAGTAGATGCGACCAATGTCAACACCCCGATTTTAGATGCAACCGAAGAAAGGTTTCAATCGTAGCGGCTTAGAAGCAACTAAGGCGGAAAGTGTTTGTAGGACTACCAATAGTCGACTGTAGCTCGGAAGTAACTATAGTAGCTGGGACGAAGATCTCCGCAATGAGATTTAGCAATATCTGGTTTCATTTAGTTGACAAGGAGTTTTAGGAAAACTTTAAAAACAAAACAGAAAGCGACGGAATGGCATTTGGAAAAAAACTATGAACATGTAGGTCCGGAACATGTGTCCAGCTTCAAACATCGAGCAGCAACGCCACAAGAAAATAGATCCATAGATGTATGATTATCCCAGTAGCCTCAATACTCTGTGCAGTTGGCTCGGAATTTCCTCTCTGCTCTGCAAACAGGTAAAGTGGAGCCCCTATAGATCCCCATATGTCTGTATGACCGCTGTTATATATATATATATACTTCACTGCTCAATTGGGGTCTATCCCACCAATTCCTTCCTCATTGAGCGGCCTCAAACTGGCCGCAATGCCATTGCCACGAATCTCCATGACCTGCTGCGTCATGTTGATTCCAGAAATGTGTCTTCCCATCTTCCATTTTTCATCTTATATAGTTCACCCCAACCGGGCCTTGTGGAAAGCCCGTCCTTCTATGTGCTGCTTTCTTTCAAGCCGACCCGCTCTCGTCTGTAAAGAACGACTTACAAACGCTTCCAACATCGGGAACCAAGGACCGACTCGAAGTCCATCTCGGTCACGGGTCGCGCCTGGGCACCCAAGGACCGATTACAGAGGAAGAAGTAGGGCTTGTCGTCCACACATGGCACGCATAGCCAAAGCCTGAGACTGCATGGCATCACCAAAGACCACAAGCAATCGAAGTCTGATTGTTCCGCAGTGAGACATCAATGAAATACACGGGCATCTGGATACTTTCTTAAAGTCAAGATCAACGCTGGGAGACTGGTCATCTGCTGCCATTGTCTTGTCTGGCGAGGGCCAATTGTATGCAATTGCATCCTGCGCAAACAAAACAACTCCAAAGGTATAGCAGCACGGTGGTCGCATTCGTCGAGTTTGGATACCCATGCTCTCACGTCCACGTGGAAACGTGTCTAGCAGTCTAGCACAAGATGCTCCTGTTCTACAGTTATACATGTATATTGCCGCATGATTGCACACTTCAAAGACAAGTCCAACAATTGCCAGCACCAATTGTCCTTAAGTCCAAGCTTGCTCTCAGGCGGCCTGCAAAGTCGCAACGAGTCCAAAAATTACGGCTGCAACATGACAATACAAAACAATTCGGAAGAAAAGAACCAACGATCGGCAAAACTTCTCAATCTGCTCATCTGCACCGGAACTAGTGCCAGGCCGAGATGCAGCTTCATCACTGCCTTCCGCCACCTGGCGCGGTATCACACACCTTTTGGCCCTGTGTCAAGTTGCTATGTTCAAACATCTTCAATCTACTAATTAATTACTAGTAACAAGGGCATTACTACTAGTAACAAGGGCATCGCTAGTAGCTTCTTGCTACTAGTCGTACTATGTCGTAATGCACTTGTTACTAGTAGCGATGCACTTGTTGCGCAAAAACAAAAGTGCTCAGTGCACCTGCCATCCTTACCCTTCGATTCCACGTCATAAACCTGCAATACATGGTGCGATTGTGCCAACAAGCAGTTGCATCGAAGTACGCTTGCTTAAGCTGAAGCACACTGCCCTGGTAGCCATTAAAGAGGCATCTCTTTGCCAGGTCATCTTCCTCAAGCATTTGTCATTTGTACTGAGAGCAACTGCCAGCGCCACAAAAAAACTTCTCAAACAACGTCTTGTCTCTCACGGCTGGTGGAGAAAGAAACACAACAAACACCAATGAAAAGCTTGTGAAAAGTGGTCAACTGATATGGTCCTGCATTGGCCAAACCTTCGCTTCATGCTTCGTCGGAACCACAAGACGAGCAAACCATCTCTCCTGAGCCAACTAGAGCGGCTTAGAGCCAAACGTACATGTACGAACTCAGCTCCAGAGTGCAAAGAGCAAACACAGCTGGACCATGTAGACATGCACCCAATTTAGACGCGCGTCTGGCGCTACAGCTGCCAAGTCTTTGGACAGCCACCTCACATTGCCAAGTAGCAGTCTCTTCTGCTAAACATGAGTTGAAACAAAGCAGCCTCTGAGTATTTTGCTTGGCGAAACACGGCAAAGCAGTGAAGTTGGAATCAATTGTCGAGTATGTTATCCAAAAAAACATTAGTTGACAATTGCTAGCAAAACAACTACTCTATTAAAACTGTCGTTGTCATGTGTTGCCTCTTTCCCCTATGTGGAAAAGGGGAAAGAGCTGTTCTTTTCTGTACCTTCTTGAAGCCTTTTTGATGCCTTCTTGTGTTTCTAAATGAAAGGAAACTCCGACCTCAGATGGTCCTTGGGTTTGGCCAAAAACTCGGTGCCTTCCAGCGGGGTCCTGGGGCGCCCACCCAGCCGAGATGAGAGAATGACCCAAAAGGAGGTCAAACCAAATTTTAAAGGAATCTAAATCCAAATCAGTATAAAAATATATATAATTACTAAAATATTGATTTACAAAATTTGGGTGGTACTAAGCTTGAGTAATTGCTAGTACAGTGGACGCAGAAGAGTTCGGGTTTCTCAAAGAAACTCTTCCCGCCAAAAGGGCCCCTTGCATGATTGCTTTGGTTCCAGTTGTTTTCAGAAACTGAACATCTCGCGCGTAGAACATCGATGTTTTTTCTCGTAGATCATGTGCAAAGTTCTAGGTCAGCCTAGAAAGCCTAGGGTGCACAAACACAACACAGCTTGGTGAGCGTGTCCTCCTTGGGAAATCACGTTGTAAAGCATCGGCCTCCCAGACTTTGGCACGCGGCCTCAGCAAAAAAGTTGTTGTCCACAACAGTGTGAGTGAGGAAAGTAAACTAAAGATTAAAAAATAAGGGAGTGGGGAAATAGCTTGGCAACGCCCTTCCACGCCTCCACACCTTGACACCTCCACGCCTCGACGCCTCCACACCTCCAAGCTTCGACGCTTATAATTGGCGGCTTGGACGCTTCGACGCCCCCACGCCTAAAAACCTGGAAGCTTCATGGCTTTTACGCTGTGCGCTGAGAGCTCAATGTCGATCTTTTTGGACTGCAATTGATGACACGTATGGCCTTTGTGGAGTCAGTGATCAATGTTCCTGGAGTCTTTTGCATCAGAGCATCCCCACTGAAGCCTTAACAGGTAAAAAGAGTGTCTTCAGCGTCAACTGCTGCATTGCTGCGTGGACATGGACTTCTGACGCGCTTGCAGAGCGACATACACGGTCTAATTTGGCAGAGTGGCATATACATGGCCGAAACTTTCGAGAGGTTTCCTTCGTTGAGGTTCCTCTTGAAGTTTGGTTCTGGCTGCTGCCTCGCTCCATGGGATCATGGACCTTTCGACTTAAAAGGACAAATCCGCAGAGGCTCCCTAAACCGTATCTCTCATTTTATGGGTCAGTGGAGAGTAGAGCAGCAAGCCGCGCATGCCGCATCTTCAGCAAGAAAAGCCGCAGCGCAACTGCTTAGCTGCCAGGCAAGGCCCCACGCGGGGCCTCAGGTGTGGGGGGTCGCCCCCTCGCCCCCCCCCCCCCCCCCCCCCCCCCGAAGACACCGAAGGACGACGGCGAAGCACGACGTCGTTCACGACTCTCCGCTTCTGCCACGCGGATAACCTCCTCAGAAGACCATCCGATCCTTGAAAGGATGGTGGATTGAGGAGGCGGGTGAGATCGAAGGTGATTGAAGGTGGGGCAAACCCAGAGGATGTGGTGGGATACTAGGGACCTCGCAAGACCCACACTCACGACAAGTAGAAGGAACTGCCGCGTCGCCGCCCTCATAGAGCGCTGTGACCGCGGAGGTCACCATGCCACCTCAAACTACGGCGGTCATGTGGCTGTCATTGGCGGAACTTACCAAATGAGCCTTAGCCTGGTTCAAAATCCATCGAGATTGGGCGATCGTCGACGATTTCTGCACAAGCCATCAAGGAATCCCTTCGGGACCCTTGCAACCAAGTCTGCGCCCGCGAAACACGCCAGAACGATCGATCTGCGCAGTGGTCTCAGGATTCCAACGTTTGCGGGGTCCATCCTGAAGTTGTCCCCAACGAACCGAGGCCTTCAAAAATCTGTGAAGGGCCAAGAGGGTAATGCCAGAGGGATGTCCAAGAGAGAAAATCTGGCGAAGGTCTTTGGAAGCACGACCCCGCTGATACTGCCGATCTTTGGTGGAAGTATTGAGTTGATTGAAAAAGGAAATTTCCTCCCAAGGTTTCGGCGTCCGACCATCAAAGAGGGAACCCCAAACAGCTTTGGAGCGCCCTAAAGAAACCGCCAAGACACGCTTCATGTTGAGCGTGACAGGAAGGAACCCGATCTTGAGACTTGAGATTGACTTGAGATTGACGTTCCATGGCAACTCTTGGGGGGACAAACCACGGTTGGGGGAACCTAAGGAAGCTCCTAAAACATGGATAGCAGGGGACGAGGCAAAACCGGCCGGCAGCACTGAGCTGTTCCTCCACGGCCGGTGCGCGATGAAGGATTTGCGTCTTTGTATGATTCGTACGGAGACGGCCATGGGCCTCAAAGTCTCGCCACACCTGACGGTAAGCCATGAAACCTTCCAGTGTAGAGGTGTAAGCGCGGATAAAGGCAACGTGGTGAATATCGGAACGGGTTTGAATTTGGCGCAGGGGGCCAGCCAACACACCTGACATGGCCAGCGGGGCCCAGGGATCCCCTTGGCAGATGGCCCAAACGTTATCCTTAAGGGGGCGAGGGTCAACCGCGGAACCGAAGGTGAACCATCTGGTTTGCTGGGTCCACATGCCCCGAATGGAACGGAAAACGGGGTCCGGAATGCCGATACGTTCAAAGAGAGCGGCAGCTAGGGGCCAGTCGGTGGAATCGAAAGCTTTCTGGAAGTCTAAACTGAGGCCATAGGGGAATTGGTAAGCCCCACCCTTTGTTGAAGTTCGAGGAGAAGAGTTTCGGCATCGTGGCCTCGAAGGCTGCCAACCTGACGCGCAGGAAGAACTTGGCGCAATTGGGGGGAAATCTGACTATAGCGAGCCGTGGCCAGACTATGATAAAATCAACAAACCGACGGCGATGGGCCTCGTCTTCAGAGCCCTTGCGGGCCACTTGCCGCTTTAGGCAAAAAGGTCAAACGCCAGTGGACAAGCGCAGAGGGCCAATGGCCCTCCGCTTCGATTTTATCGAAAGAGTGAAGAGGCGCAACAACGCCGGGCCCGGTAAAGTGGACAAGGCGGCGGCGCACCAGCCATCGGTGCCCGACGCTTTGCCCGACATGGACCTAAGAACCTTCCGGAATTCAAGAAGCTGCATGGGAAGAAGGTGAACTTCTGGGAAACGAGGAAGAAAAATTGGGACGGTAGTCCTGAGGCCCACAAAAGACCGGGGACCATGCATCGCGGATTAAAGCCGCGCCGGCACTGCGACCTGAAGTAATCCGAGTTTCGTACGAAAGCGACCACCCTTGATGGTCTTGATGTTGTTCTTCCAATTACGAAGGGCATTTCTTTGGGAGGTATAGAGAAGATCGCCCAAAAGATGCCTAAGGGAATACCCTTAAGAAGCTGGGGAGAAGGAGGAATTCCACGGCGAAAATTTGACAAAAGTTCTTCGACGCGCCGCAACGCACGCCGGATTTGCCGCTCCCGCAAGCTTTGACCATCACCCTGACTCGAAAAGAAGGAGACAGGAGACAAGTTTAGGAGAAGAACCACGGGGTAAGAACTGAGGAGCGGAGGGGATCATACCGGAAGCCCGAATGAATCGTTGCGCGTCGAAGGACCAAAGTTCCCAGAGAGACTCCACATGACCATGAACCAATTCGGAATTCCATGTTTCCTGAGAAGAGGCATGAGAAAACCACAATTCATCGGGATTCGGGGCCTCCTGAATTTCGAAGGGGGCGCTCTTATGGAAAGTCCAGTTGGGAGGTCCCGGAGAGGAAACAGTTGGGGGAACTGGACCAGGGAACCGTAGTGGTCCGAGATCACTCCTAAACAACGCACGTGGGAACAAGGAAACCCACCAGATCCACCAATGAAACGACCATTTTGGGACGACATGAACCTTTCAAGGGGCGAATCAACCTCAGACATGTTCCAATCAGAACAGAAGATCCAGTGACGATTTTGGGTTTTTTGAAAGGACAATGTCAAACCTTCAAAAGCTTCCAAAAGATTGGGGGAAGGGCGACGACAACCGCAAATGATTAATCAAAAGGGGGAGGGCGTGCCTAAAACCTCAGCAACGAAGATTTGACCCCAAAGATCCCCAACCGAATAAATCTGTGTCAAAGCCAAGGGTTCCTTTGCAAGGATGGCCACCCCTCCAGAGGGGGCTTTGCCTGAGATACCCCGCAAAGCCTTGACGGCCACGCAAGACCAGCCTTTTTGCCGGCACGCATGGGCAACGTCAGTGAGTCGTGACACACCATGCAGTTGAGCCTGGGCTTTATCGGCCTCATCTAACGTGGCATGAAAGTGCCTTTGAGCGGAAGAGATGTTGTAGGTCATCAACTTCAGGAGGCGGTTTTCGTGAGGATCCGAAACATTTCTGTCGGGCCCGGGGTTCGAAGCTTCACCGATCCGAACGGCGCGGAGACCGGCCGGCGCTTGAGAAGAACCATGAGGGCGGCTAGAAAGGTCCTGAAGTCCCCCGTGCCCAAACGAGCGAAGGGCGCGCGAGTCGACGAAGACCGGCCGAATGCGAAACGAAGGAAGAAAGGGCGATCGTCTGGACAGCTTGGCATCCTGAAGGCGCAAGACATGGGCGCCCAACGCCCAAAGAGACTGGAAGACGAGCCCAAAGTGACAAGAACCATGAGTTCGCCGAACGGGTCCGGGAGTATCCGCCTCTCCAAACCGCTTCCCACGGCCACCTCTCTTGGTCACTGCGGCGCCATCAAGCAGCCATGGCCTTTCCAAACGCCGTCACTTCTGCCGACGCGTCTGATCGACACTTTTTCCAAATGGCGATTCAGTTGTGCACAGGAGGTACCTTAGTCTTCTGGGCCGCGCAAATCGAAGTCGGAATTTCAGCTGCAGGAACGGTGCGTGAACACCTGCGACACCGAAAGCGGGACCGATAATAGGTCCGTCCGTTTTTGGCATGAGTGACGACCACAGGGGCCCCTTCGATGTCATGTGCCCCGGGCCACTTTCGCTGTTGGAACAGCTCAAGTTGTCACTGCCACCTTCGTTGCACCGCTTTGCCAGAGGCCTAAGGAAGGGCGCAAGGCCTCTTTTTTGAGTTTTTTGTTTTTCTTTTCATGCAAATGAGATTCTAATTTCCGATTCTTGAGGGGCCTTTCAGGCTCTTGAACCTTCTTTTCCTGCTCTGCCCACTCGGCATTCTGTTTCCTGTTTTTAGCTCCCAAACCCCCGCGAAGAGCGCTCTTCTCTTGGTCGGTGGTTTCTTCTTTCATCTGTTTTCGTCTTTCAGCGCTGAACGGAATGGGGACGGGACTGTATGAGACACGTATTTGCCTGCTGCAAGTTGAATCCATTTTCTTCATGCTGTTCAATTTGATTTCCCCTCTTTATACTCCGCACCGAAAGCATTCTGGAACGCTTGCTTTTGCTTCAAGCCACACTGCGTCGTTTTCCTCTCCTACGAAGATGCAGTCATCGACATGGCGTGACATGATATCGTTAACAGCTCCATGGTTTAGGAGTATACAGCAACAAGGATCGGCAAATGACAAAATGTTCTCGCACTGATGAATACCACTCAAACGTTGGTTGCACCAATCCGTAACAAGACTTCCGAAGCTCGTTGCGCTTTTATTTGGAGCTTGCACCGCTTCACAAAGGTCTTTTTCGTGAGCTGCTGACGCGTCTCCTTTCCAACATTTCCACTTTCGACATGCTGCTTGTTGCAACATCTGTTGTCCTGCGTTGTGTCACGTTGTGGTAGGAGCAGATGTTGTTCTATACACTGTTATTAGGGATCCTGATGCCGCAAGATTGACCAAGATGACCAGTTGAGCTTTGGGGACTGTCCCACCCGCGCGGTCTACCTTCTAACTCAACAGCCGTCTCATGGCCAGTAGGCTCTGACTTCAAAAACTCGTTGATCTCTACATCCTTTGCTCCTCTGAATGTGTGTCTCATCTCACGCTTTTTCTTCAAAGCATTCACAATGAAAGTCTTGGGTCTTTGGCCAATTTCATCCAACCGTGTCTAGACGCTGGTATTGCGAAATGCTGCATCCAGCATATGTCTGGTCTCCAGCTGGTATTCGACACCTCGAAGCTTCGTGGCTCTGACGCCTCCACTGCGGCTTCGACGCGCGTTTACCGTTACCCGAATGCCCACGCAATGTGTAAAATGCTCTTCTTGAGAGGAAAAAAAAATAGAGTGTGGGCCCCTTTAATGAGGCCCCCTTGAAAGGGGGCCCTACTAAAGGGACCCAAGCACGGCCCAAGCACATTCTTGTATTCCTCTCAAAATTACAAAGCACCCCGCATCAGAGTTGACCTGTGGAGCTGTGCCATACGCCTGACCTTCAAGATCTATCACACGTCATTTGATGCATGCAAGACACACTGATCTGAATGGCACCGGTTCAACTTGACGTTTGGCTCTCGATCGCGATCGAATGCCTAGATCGGGCAGGGGATTGGGGAATCTCTGGCTAGCAAGCAATAAGATGTTTTCAACTGACAAGCAAAACAGGTTTCATCCTGAAGAAATTCAGTGAAAGCCCTGGCTACATGCAAACTCTTGCGCATGCTCGATGCATTTATCACGAATTACAGGAGATGCAGGGGATAAAGTGCACAAGATTGCAAATGAGCAGCGTTGTGTGCAGCTCCTCTTCTCCTTGGAACACAACAGTGTATAATTATATATAAAATATATAATGAAGAACAATCCTATGGCGTTTGAAACGCTGGTGCTGTCTATGTGCAACCCAGCAGCTCTCGTGTACCTGAGCTGCACTTTTTTCATCGTGGAGATGATCTCAAATATCAAACGATTTATGCGTTCAATTGGCCTGCTGCAGCCAATGTGGCCTTCTTCTTTGTACTTTGCAACTGAGGGGATGCATGCAGCCAAGTCACAAATCCTCTTGCTTTGATACACGATTCGGCCATCTAGGCATGACAGGTGCCGCACCCCATGAAGGAAGAAATCCTTCAGCAATCATTGCACTTTCTTAGAGGTATTGCAAAGCTTTCTGGTCCTGTGTCATGCCTCCTCAAGGATGTTGTGCCAAACTTGCAAGATTTCGACAGCAAGGTGCTCTTAAAGCCTTCCCCGACTTCCTTGCTACAGTACCAGCTGTTTGATACCCTTGGACTACTTGACTACCCCTTTCACCCAACTCAAGCCTCCGTGCCGTGCCCCCCCAGTCCTGTCAGCGGCGAGTGGCTTACATGTAGAGTGCACATCAACTTGACTCATCAAAAAATCTACGCGCTTGAGCCTAAACACGTGAGATGCGCGGGTGAAAAGTACGCCATCTGGGAACTAAAACGCTCACAAGCATGATTGATAGCATTGATGCAAATACTGTTTCAATTGTGCGTAGGTGCGTTGCTCTGCAAAACATTGTTCAAGTTCACAAATGAAGCAGTCATCATCACCTCATAAATGGCCTTGGCACCATGCGCCTTTAGTTTAGACAAATGGGCGCTGCCACACTGCCTGTAGGCTACCTCCTTCACCCCTGTCATCGGAGTAATCACCCCCTGAGCATGCTGGACTGGTGGAAAGTCACGCGTGCAGGAATGTGGATCATATGCAGTTTTTCTTGGTGCCACGTGAAATAACAGCCAAGGTGGGCATGGCAAGTGAACAAACAAAGGCAGGAATATCAAAGGCAGTGGACTGCCAGGCAATTTTTCTAGTTATAGTTGTTCTTGCCAAGCTGCCGTTGATCCGTCCGCACACACGGGGCCCATTTCTTTCTCCTGCATTGATTCTGACAACTCGCGCATTAACGACTTCAACTCTGGCAACCTCTGCAGCAGTCCTTCTGTCCAAGGAGTACGGCTCAGGAATCCACTTACAGCCAAACGATGCTGAGGAAATGCATGGCTAATGAAGAGTGAATGTGAATGTGTGAGGATTGCAAATATCCACCATGGAAATGAATGCAGAGAACTCAAGACGCTGGGGCCTCTGGATGTCTCTTCGATTCACTTTCATTGCCCTTTCAAATCGAATATCCATCATCAATGCGATGAGCAGCAACAAGAGCAACAGCTGTGTTCAGCTGAGTTTAACTCCTATGGACTCAACTTGCCCACAACGTATACACTAGTAACAAGGGCATTACTACTAGTAGCAAGAAGCTACTAGTAGCTATTTGCTACTAGTAGTAATGCACTTGTCACTTGTTATTATTAGTAGCGATGCACTTGTTACTAGTAGCTTCTAGCTACTAGCTACTAGTAATTGGAAGATTGACCCAATCGCACATAGGGACACAAGCGCTATCAAGCACTCCTTTTGCATCCTTTTGCGCTGAATGGGGCTTCCATGGAAACCGTCTCCGTCCAAAGGCTCATCTCACTCGTCTTCCTCTTGTGGCCCCGAGTTCACATGATGAGCCCTGCAATCACTCTCAATCCTGGTATGTTGATTGGACTTGTCGGTCCGTAGCTGTCGAGGAAATGTCCATTGTCGTGATGAAGCCACAACACAAACACTTCCAGCATCAGGGTTGTTCTACTGCATCGCCTTCCACTGGTGACCAAGCGCCTCGTAGATCACGATGACCAAGACTCCAACTATGACCGAACGCGATTTGCATGGGCACGCAGGACCTTCGTCTGTGCATGGTATGGACCATGGCATTGTAGGCAGTACCTTGCAAGTGTCTTTCAGAATTCAGGATTTCAAGGTTTAAGCATCCATCTTTGACCCAATCTACTGCAAGCGAAGACACTTGTAAGCCAACTTTGCCCATCGCGCAGCGTCTGACAAATTTCCCAAAGACATGGAATGGGCGTAGGCCTGCGATTGGCTGTTGCACGGCTGATTTGTCCCTGCAGCCCGTAGAGTCCATTGTGAGTCCATTGTATAAATTGAAGTAGTTACAGTAGCTATCTACACAAATGTGCAACAGATTCTTATGGCGTGCAAGCTGGGTGTCGAACAGTTCCTTATGTTTGTTTTGCAGTGTTTTGCTCCTTGAAACTGTTTAAGCACCTTGTAAGCGGCCATCTTCCGATAGCTGATCACAGTCAACCGTTCCTCGTCATAAAGACGCAACGTCTCTTGGATCAGCTCAAGGGCCTGGGAACAAGGCCCGGGCCAAAATCGCACACATTCCTATACGCTGTTTTTTTTTTATGGCCGGTGGAGGCCATCGCTATTAGGTTGGAGGCCATTGCTTGTCATTGCTTGTATGTTTTTGTGTGGCCTTTTCATCCTCGCTCTCTTCCAACTCCTCTATGAGCTGCTGCATGCGGGCCCGCCGCTCGTCGCTCACTGGATCTGCCAGTGACAACACGCGGGGGTGGTGCAAGTAAGTTGTAGAGTCTATGAATCAAATTGAATGAACTTGTTGACATGCAACGCATGAATCCTCTTGCCGAGCAATTTGTTCCACTGAACTGCAGCCTGCTGCCACACAAACTGGACATGCACATTGGAAGCCCAATGATATCAATCTCTCCTGCAAAGATCGAGACATGCATCCTCGCACGAAAGCTGCATTGACTCCAGTCCCTATTGAGCAAAAGAACAGGGAGAATGGCCACTGTGGAGAGCACAAGACCAGTGCACCACGATCAAACCTGCTACTACTAGTAAGGCACTTGTTACTAGAAGCGATGCACTTGTTCCTAGTAGCTTCTTGTTACTACTAGTAAGGCACTTGTTACTAATAGCTTCTTGTTACTATCATACCATCTTGCAGTACCGCACGACACTTTTCGAAGTTCAAGCACAAGGTGCAGGGATCTGGAGAATGTTTTTTCACAGATCATGGTCTCTTCAGAACCTGTCATCCTGTTGACGTGCATCGTCATTCGTTCACCTTGTAAATATTACCGTTGAACACAGAGCCTTGAGCCTTGCAAAGAATTCCTGAGCCTTGCCGTAGCTACACCGCTTCCATCCGCTTCCTATGTGTGTAGCAGTGTAGCTGTGATTCTGTGTTCGCCGCTGTGTCTGAGCTGTGTTGTTTGTTTTTGCCGGGAGCGTCTTGCGCCTGCCCGAGTGAAATTTAAAGATGACAAAGCCCGTGCAAAGCGCCTTCCGAGTGATCGAACCATTGAGACCATGACAAAAGGCCATAATTAGGAACTATGGGAACCCCTGATGCCAGCTTACCCAGCCATCCTGCCCTGCCAATTTCTGGCTTGTTGCCACGGATTCCTGCACTAGTCCTGGTTTGCGTATTCCACACCACCGCGGCTGATTCGCAAATAATCGGCCCAAGCTTCCGCGCTAGTTTGCTGCCCAAGCAGGCTACAACTTGAATCGCATGCCACTCTCTAGAGTCGAGCACTTCTTCAAGGAAGCTCCCCCCCACCTGAGGTGAGGGCGGGTGGAAGTTCCTTGAAGAAGTGCTCGCTCTATTCATGTGGTTCCTTGATTCTTAGGCAAACTTAACTTACATAACGGTCCAGTGCAAATGAAAAAAGGAGGCTTTGGCACAATGACCAAACCGAGCAGGGATATCATACAAGCCAAGTTCTTTAAGTTTACATATTTGACAGTGAAACAGCTCAAACAGGTAAAGTGTCGAAGCAAAGATTTTTCTGGGGCTAGGAAGTTACGGGTTCAGATCAGCTGGTTCGGCATCAATTCAGTCGTTCAACTGAACCCTCCTGCCGAACTGGTGTTGGAAATCGCACATCCTGATAGTAAAGGCATAGCTCCTCACCGGCGGCAATGTCCTCGTGCTGGCATCATTGTCATGGCCATTTCTTTGTCAAAACATGGCTACTCCTCTGGTTGCCCTTTCAAAAGAGACGATTTCACCAAGAGTCCCGCTCAGCATATACTTGAAGCATTCCTGCACACAAACGCACGGTAAAAAGCTAGCAGCTAGTAACACATGCTTGCCTGCAAGATCTCCAACATGATCCAACACGCCATCAGCTTTGGGGGTCTTTGTGCACACAATGCTCCAAAATGCCGTTCCAAAGCCTTTGTGCAGGTGTCCTTCGCGGTCATCCCAGCTGACTCCACAATTGGGGAGGCAAGAATGATTGAAGCGGCTCAATTCTAAATACCTCGAAGTTGAATGTGCGAGCAATCGGACATCATCCAACACCCAGCATCGAGGACACAAGAGATGTCAACCCCATGCATTTTGCTGGAGCTCAAGTCACAGCACTCGTGATTCTTCTTCTTCTTCGAGTAGTGGATCGGATGGTTCTCCAGCTTGAAATGCGTTGGTCCGAGCTATCCCCAATATCCTTTGATGTTCAAAGCACAAAGCTGACAAAGGCCCCCAAGTGAGTTTGTCTCAAAAAGGAACAGTACCTATCAGGTTAGAGGGGACATCAATTCTGAGCCATTCACAGGGTTTTCTTCGATCAACTTTAAGAGGCCTCGAGTAAATGTAAGTCCTGATTCACCAGGCTGATTGGGATGGGTGCAACTCAGAGCATCTCTGCCCAAGCATCGTTTTGCCTTGCCTTTCTGCAAATGCGTCCTTGTGGGCGAGCAAAGTGCTGTTGATGTAGATTTACGTAGATACAAAACATGACATTTGACATCATACTTCTGCCAGCAGGAAACATTGCAGCTAATCGCGTGTCTCGTAGCTGACGGACAGAACTGTGTCTATTTGAGGTGCTACATGCAGACGGAGGGCACGAGGCTGCTCTTGTTGTGGCGAGCAGTTGTGATTTGTTCATTGCATGTGATGAGACCAAGAGCAGGTTCTCTTGCTCAAGTTAGGTGTGTAGAAGCAAGGTTATAGGCGATGGCCTCCAACCCAATAGCGATGGCATCCAACCTAATGCATCCCCCAAAAAACAATAACATCATGCTCCTCCAACTCCAGAAGTGCCTCCTTTTGCTGCACTGAGAGTGCGTCAAAGCATTCTTGCAGTTCTGCCTGGTCAGAAGGAAGAAGTAACTAGTGACTGCGAAGAGAAACAAGCCATTGGCCATTGGCCTTTCCTGACACGGAAGTGAGGGAAAGCGTATCCGGAACGTTCGGTCGGGCTCTGTGGGAGGCATGCAGTTGGATGGCCAAGGCTGCTGTCGAACCCGTAAGAGGATGGGGAAGTGACTACGTGAGGCACTCTTGGATGGAGAACAAATACAATCCATCAATGTCAAACACTCCAAAACTATCCTCAGCCAGTTAGCTAGGGTCCTTGCCAGCCTCATCCTCAGCACCCGACCATCGGAGCGCAGGTTCCTGACGTGAAGAGACATGCTTTGCGTGTTGAGCTATTGTTCCATTGCTTTAGGCCTCTTTTAGCCCGTGGCCCCGCCCTCCTACTATATAGATTAAGTAGGCACCTACTGAATTAACTAAGGAAGTAGCAAGCTCAGGGCAACTAATTAGCTTCTAGTAACTGGACGCAGGATGCCTCGCACCAATCACTTGGTTCCTAGTTCTTTTTTCGAAACAATAGAGTTTGATGAACACCAGCTACCTGGAGCTTGGGAGATTGCACCAGCGGCGGCATCTGCTAAGAAAACGGCGGTATCACTCGCATCACCTACCACCAGAACGCCACACGCCCCAAAGCGCCTACCATGCACATCGAAGTCCACACTGCTGTGGCAGAGATGAGTAGGACACTTTTGCAACTTTCCCCCCAAAAAGCACAATCCTCGAAAATACACAACTCCAACCCTCGCCGGCCATGGCCTCTTCAGCCACAAGCTGGCCACTCGCAATTGGCTCGAGAGCGATCGCGCCAAAGCCCTTGTCTGACACCTTCCGGACCTTATAGCACCTCGTCTGACATCAGCTAGCTGAAGCATTCGGTGGACATGGTCTGAAACTGTGAGCTGGCCTTCCAGCTTGTGCGCGTGTGCGCACGGCTGCGGTGAAGGGTGCCAGGGCAGCAGTCCAAAAGAATGCCCGTGCCTCGGTGATCAAACAATGAGTTACAACATTTTACAAGGAGTTCTCATGGCAATTTGGCACCAAACTGCAGAGTGCAGCTACGGGACAGTCGGCTTCTTCGCCTTTGTCAGGTAGCTGGTAGGCTGCACCTTGAGACAGTGATGCTGTGATGCTGCTGTAGGTGGTGAGGTTAGGCTGGCTCAAGTCCGCATATCGCTGTATGGGAGGATAAAGACCAACCGGAGTACAAAGTCCCAGTTTCTTTTTCGTTTTGTCCCGACCCTGTGTTAATTGAGATGGAAAGCAAGCAAAATCGTCCACTGGGTCCATGCAGTTTCTCTCTCAGTTCCGTCCTGAAAGGCTGGCGCATGGTGGACCACTGGGCTTTGGAATGCATGAGAAATCATTGAACGGCACAGACTGCACTCGATTTACTCTGCAGCCTATGTCAAGAGGCTGGCTATAAATGCGGTTCCTTGAAACTAAGAATCTACAAGAGATAGACTTTCTTAAAGGTTTGAGCCAACATCTGCATTTGTCTGCCCTGTCAGGACTGGAACAGATTTGCAAAGCAGCACGGACCATTTTCCTCGTCTGGGTAGCTTCGGAGGTTTGTAGTCCGGCGCTATCTCTATCACTAAATTCGGAGAGCTGCGAAAGCAGAGGAAGCGCATCTATGTACTTGGTTCTCATAAAGGTCATTTGGTTCATGGAAAAACATTGAAGTGTCCTTCAATGCAGCAACAAAATCTGTTGGTCACTTCGCTAGGAGAGCTTCCTCACTGTCCGGTGCTCTCCATGCAGAACGAGTCGTGGAGTCACTAGAGTCAGGGAAAGAGCCACAAGCTGCTGACCTTGCTCTCGCAAAATCAAATCTCAACCGACAAAGTGACACGTCTCTTGCTTGTGGATGCTCGTGGTCAAGGGCTTTCCAACAGTCTTTATGTTGGAGCATTCCACCCATAAAATGACTACCGCTCCATCTAACTCCCACAAAAAAGCACCTTGAGTGCATTGGCAGGTCTCGACAGTCTCAACCAGCAGCCTTCCAATTCAGCTAAAAAATAGTAACAATCTTCTTTTGAGTTACTAGTAGCAATGGCCTCCGCCCTACTAGCGATGGCCTCCAACCTAATCCTTCCAAGTTGTTGTGTTTGTTCAAGTTGGAAGAACATCAAACACGCCTGAGGCTGTGGTGGACTTCCCGGACATCTGGCTGCATGCCAGGCCTTGAGGTCAAAAAAGAAGATCCAGAAAAGCAGTTTGAATTTCTTTCTCTAAGACAACCGCTTTGATGAAAACAAGACAACTCAGTGTCAATGCTAGACTGGTTCAGGGTCTATCGTTCCTTTAGAGCTCCCCACTGGAACGAGGCGATCGTGGAGGCTGGCAGAGCAAGTGCGCAGCTCTCGTTGAGTGAGGTTGAACAGGTCCTGGTCACTTGGAGTGCATCAAACAGGCACTGCCTGAATCCTTGATGCTTTTCTATCTAACTACTGTAAATGTTTGGGCAATGGTTTCAAAACGATATGCAGGTGCAAAAAGATTGAAAAAACTCAAAAGCAAATAAACTTACTTGAGCATTCATCTGTACTTTGGATTGCTCTGGATCCCGTCCGGTGGTAGCGGTTGACCATCAGGGCAACGGGCCCGTTCATCCCGCAGGCCATCAAAGCAGTTGTGGGCACAAGCCTGGAAACTCCACACCAGCTACAAATTCAACAGCAAGACTCCTTCTCCACGGCAGAAAGCAAACAAACAATGAACCAAATCCCAAACCCCAACCACAAGGGGATAAAACAATCTAAGAAAGAAAAATTCAAACAAAAAGGTCATATCTTTGCGGTCATCCCCAACTACTGGGTCCACACTATAGCGCTGTCGGACACCATGTCGTATGGCATTTGCGGTGCTTTTGATGTTTTCCCTTAGGACCATTGGGAGAAGTTGTGCTTGCTTTTTGTGCGCTTTCATGTAAAATTTCAGGCAGTTGATCATGGAATGGGGCATCAAGTGTGTTTGCAAGTTCACATGAAGGTCAACACCGCCCCACCCCACATCACCCCACCCTTGCCCGGCGTAGTATCAACTCTTCAAGCGCACAAAATACTGCAAATACCATGCAAATGTGCGTGTGTCTGTGTGTGTCCGATTTCTCCCAAGTGGCCCTGAAGGAAACGTCGAAACGCGAAAACCCACGGTGTCTATTGCCAAGTACTGGGTGCCACCCTGTTATATAAGTTCCAGGTCAAAACGTGCACCTCCAATGGTTTGACCCTGGTCTCTGGGTCGTACCTGATTCGCGCAAATCTGATTCAGTTGACTATCCCAACTATGCAACGTCTCCAAAGCGCACTGCAAGAAGTCACTGAGAAGTGTTGTGAACCTCGGAGGAAGCAATCAAGTCAATGGAAGCACCACAAATGAGCAAGGTTTCTTCACATTCCCGTAGGCAAAAGAAAAGAGCCCTTGAATATGTCTGTCGTTGGGGCACACGTGCTGGGAGTTCAGTACACAGCAGAGGTTCTTGGCAGACTCGGTTCCGTTCACCAGCTTGGGCTCTAGCTCAGGTCCCACAGATTTTCGGAAAACGGTGCCTCAAAAGCAGCTTCAAGCGCATTCAGCGATGCAGATGAAGCTTTGTGTACTTTTTGTCCAGGATCATAATCATAGTAACAAGAAGCTACTAGTAGCAAAGGGCATCGCAACTAGGAGCAAGAAGCTAGTAGTAGCTCCTGGCCTCACTACTAGGCACAAGAAGCTACTAGGAGGTTCTTTTGCAGTTTGGGCCAAAGACATGAACTCTAATTCGTTGATTTGCATGAGCAAAACAATCCTCACAAAGGAACGCTTGGTATCTTGGGGTCGACATGGCTGCAAAGTAACCCATGAGCCTTTCCCCAAAAAAGGTACTCTATATAATATGGCCCGCTTGTCTGCATGTAACCATGACATACATGCACACACATCCACACATCTGGGCTGCCAAAGCCTGGGCAGTCAGGAATACGCGGCACAGTGGACTGTAAAGCTGTTGGACCCCCGCGCAATGGGAAGTTTATGGAGCAGAACATCTTATTCTTGTGGCTTGATTTATGATCTGGTCAGCATTGTACAAATAATGCTATGAATGCTATGTATATAGGCATCGGCATGGCAAACAGCACGACAGATACAAACAGGCATTGAAACAGTGGCATACTGCCTTCCTGACTAGCCCACGACTGAATCATTAGGCGAAGTTGCTGGGAAAGTGCAAAGTCACAGCAAAACTACTTTTTCAATCTTTCATCTTACTACTTCAATTTCATTGAGGTCAATCTGTGCTCCCGACTGAAGGCAAGACTACATTCCAACTCACATACTGTCATGCAGCTACCACTCTCTCTATCGCTCTCTCGCTCTCTCTATCCCTCTCGACTCTCTCTGTCATTCAAGATACACAGGATATGCAAAATAGAAGAGCAAGGGGGTCTGGCAACAACAACCAAAATAGGTCGATGGTTTAAAGGGGCAACTCCAAGCAGCTACAGTGCATTCACGCCTACAATTTCAACTACATGACATGGAAAAGTCATCAACAAGCCAAGTCTAAGTTTAGTGCATTGGGAAAACCACCAAACCACCGTGAAGTTGAATATGTGTGGCTTCACTCTGTAGCTTAGTGAATATGTCTCTGTCGTTCTCCTTCACTCACGACGGTCAACGGTCTCAGTGCCACGCTCCAGCTGCATGGAGCTACCGTTGGAAAGGCAAAGCTGAAATACCTCCAGTTCCGCCCCGTTCCGCTGTTTGGCTGTTTGGTCCAAAAAGCAAAGCGTTGAGGATAAGATTCTATGATCATGTGCCACAGGTCCCTGTGACCCCAGAGTAGATGGAAACGGGAAACGCAAATCCGAAAACCTCACGTTTCTCTGTTACTTGTTCTATCATTCTATCTACTTAGTGGAACATGTTTCGCTGCGTTCCAGTTCCTGGGTCACTGTGGGTTCATGGCCAGGACCTGTCGACGTGAGGGTGAGCCCAGTACCTGCAATGATCCAAGCAAACCACAGCGGTTCATCCGGTTTGAACAGATTGCGGGCAAGACAAACAACTCTGTAGCTGCCAAGGCAACACAAGCCAGTTCCTGTGAGGAACTGCTTTTCAATGTCTGCTGTCGTTTGCACACAGAACTATGTCACTCTTACAGCTCTTGCGTTGGATTGCTCTATGAATTGGCTCTAACCAGACTCCAAATCCAACGTTCTGGCCTTCACGATTTCTACCAATTGGTCCACACCATTCTCTCCGGGGAAGAGAGGGCGTCCTAACTTCATCGACAAATCTGGCAAATAGGCGAATCTGGTTGGATCTCAAACTCTGCTTGATCAAATCCTTGATGCAATTCATAGGCTGAAAGACTTCATCGAGGCAAGCAGTTGGAAATAGTTGGCAGTTTATTGGTCTTCGTCTCAAGTAGGAGCAGAAGCGGTTCGGGAGCCTCTTCCAAAAACGGCACAATGCAAACACAATTATTGTGCACCAGTCAACATGGCCTCTGAGTCTACCTTCCATTTTGGGCAGTCCTCTCAGCATCTCCGCCAGGACGCAGCCAATGGACCACAAATCCACGGCGGTGGTACTGCAGGGCAAATCCATTGAGCATTGTCACGTTTTGCAGGCTCTTGGAAATGTACATGTGCAAGCACATGAGATCCAAAGGTGAGCCCTGGCTTCTTTGCTGATGTCATACTTACACCACTATGCATCAATGACATCAGTTCAAACAAACCTGTCCCACCATTGGTGACCGAAAGCACGGCAGGCCGACTAGTTGGTGGCTCCAAAGATCAACTCTGGCGCCCTATAGTAGCGAGAGCAAATATAGGCCACCTGATGAGAGGGCACTCTCAGCGAGGAGGGGCTTGAAGAGGAGCATCACTGGTCACTGTGAAGTTTTGTGAAGGGACTTGATTGTTGTCTGATGATGGACTTGTCTTGATTGTCTCTTCAGTTTCACCAGCTCGAATTCCAAGCCTTTCAGCTCTTTCAGCTCCAAATGTCAGCTGTGTTGGCGACCGAGGCTCAAGCCAAAGCTGGCCGACCCTGGCTGAGACGCACAGCCGAGCCAAAGTCGCCTGAGAGAGAGAGAGAGAGACACAGACTGGCGAGGGGGGAAGAGAGGAAGAAAAGCACTGCAAGCACGCCTTCCATCCAACTGCATCCATCGTCTCTCCAAACGCGACTTGAACACAGTCCGGGGTCCAACAAAATCCCCACATCATATTGGAAGTGAAGAACATTTCATGGTAAGACTAGGTGACTGGTGGCTAGGTTAAACATTCGTACCTCCTGAGTCTGACACAAAGCTTGAGCAGGTGGCCACGAGATGCATCTACCAGCAGGTTTTGCGGCCTTGAAACTCGCAAACATCCACGGAACCACCACAGGGCTCTAGCTTCTTTTTTAGGGCCTATCTTTCACAACCACTCATAAACACCACTGTCTGGAATGAAACCACGAGCAGTCCAACTTGGCGGTCGTTTCGAATCCTGGTGGGCTCCGCACTTGATGTCTCGGTGAACCACCCCACTGGCATGGAGATGTGCTAAAGCTCGGCAAGCCTGAGAAACTTCGACCCTCGCTCCCACGAACGGAACTGAACTGCATCTGTCAGGGTAACAATAGAATCTTTGGCTGAGAAAACAAACACCACCTATCCAGAATACTTACAAAGGTATGCGTTCACAAAATTATCCACTACAGTTACACTTACACTGTTGGACTGAAGCAGTTGCATCCAAGCCAAACACTGCAAACATGCGTCCAAACTTACTAACGGCCTGGTAAGTGTAGAGCTGCACCACGATCCGTGGCATTTGTTGCTGCTGCTTACCTGACGCAGGGATGTCAGAAGAATCACAATTCACCCTGTACACTTGCACAAGCACCTAATGCTGCATGTTTGATGAGGCCGACGGCTGTCATTGGACGCTTTTTCAAAACCACCTGTCATCACAGGCTTCAGCACATACCGAGCTGCACCCGTTGCTCTTGAAGCAGCTGGGCTATGCAAGGCATATGAGGGCATAAACAGGCACTTTGAGCCAAGTGCAAGGTCAGGGCCTTTCTGGGTTTAACTTTCGAATCATCTGGCGAATTATCCAACTCTTCTGTGCTTTCTCCTTCAACAATGCCACTTACAATCACTTACAATCTTGACACGAAAAGGCAGAACAAGGCCTTGATAGGGTCATTTTCTGGGAGGCATTTCAAACGCCAAGAGCTAAAAAGTTGCACAGCTTGCAGCACAAGCCAAGTCAACAAACCCGCCCTGCTTTGCAGGAGCCTACGTACACTATCACCCACTCAATGCTGGCAAGTCAGAGGACAAAAAGAAGGAGTAAAACAGTGAGTGTTAGAAGTGCACTCCTTTTTGCATTGAAAAGGCCTTCTTAGCAGCGCCCCGTAGGAAGAAACTACTGTCGCTCAAACACTGCCTTGCAGCAGACGTTGCTCAACCCCCTGCCAGAATCCTTGGTATGGCCAAAAAGTATCAAGAATCATCTCCAGATCATAGGAAATTTTGCCAATCTTAGGCTGTAAGTCTAAGACTTGCGATAAATGGCCTCTCGATTACTCCACAGATCCAGCACCTGGCTTTGTTCGCCGACTCGTGAAGCCAAACAATAGAATTGTGTTCATGACAAGCGCGCGGATGATATTAACTAGTAACTAGTAGTGTCCTTGCTACTAGTAGCAATTGCCTCCAACCTAATAGCGATGGCCTCCAACCTAGTAGTGTCCTTGCTACTAGTAGTAATGGCCTCCAACCTAATAGCGATGGCCTCCAACTAATGGTCTCCAACCTAACAGCGATGGCCTCCAACCTAGTAGTGTCCTTGCTACTAGTAGTAATGG